AACCTAACCTAACCTAACCTAACCTAACCTAACCTAACCTAACCTAACCTAACCTAACCTAACCTAACCTAACCTAACTAACCTAACCTAACCTAACCTAACCTAACCTAACCTAACCTAACCTAACCTAACCTAACCTAACCTAACCTAACCTAACCTAACCTAACCTAACCTAACCTAACCTAACCTAACCTAACCTAACCTAACCTAACCTAACCTAACCTAACCTAACCTAACCTAACCTAACCTAACCTAACCTAACCTAACCTAACCTAACCTAACCTAACCTAACCTAACCTAACCTAACCTAACCTAACCTAACCTAACCTAACCTAACTAACCTAACCTAACCTAACCTAACCTAACCTAACCTAACCTAACCTAACCTAACCTAACCTAACCTAACCTAACCTAACCTAACCTAACCTAACCTAACCTAACCTAACCTAACCTAACCTAACCTAACCTAACCTAACCTAACCTAACCTAACCTAACCTAACCTAACCTAACCTACCTAACCTAACCTAACCTAACCTAACCTAACCTAACCTAACCTAACCTAACCTAACCTAACCTAACCTAACCTAACCTAACCTAACCTAACCTAACCTTAACCTAACCCAGACCTAACCCAAACCCAACACAAACCTTACCCAAACCTTACCTAACGTACCTACCTATTTAATAAATGTATAGGTAGATGAAAAAAGTTTCCCAAACTACTAAAAATTAGCAAAGTCCTTTCTACTTTTAAAATGGGCGAAATAGACTCAAATGATAATTACCGACCGATCTCACTATAGTTCCGTTAATTTCTAAAATATTTGAAATGTTATTGAAAGAAAGACTAGTAAAGTACATTAATAAACCTCTTATTCTTTCATTTAGAAACGAGCGCTCTACTATACAAGCTATTTATGCTGCCATATCAATCATAACAAATAGACTTGAAGTTCACGAAACAATAGGAATGACTTTACTTCATTTAAGTAAAGCATTTGATTGCGTTTCACACGAGCTATTATTAGAAAAATTGTATAGGTACAGAGTTAGGGGACAACCGCCGTACTACTAAAATCGTATTTAAGTGACAGAGAGCAATGTGTAGAATGTATAAGGGTAGCAAATCTAAAGTGCTTTCAATACTTTTCCAATACAGATGCTAACGTGTATCTCTGTTTTCCCTTGCGAGAAGGGGAAGGTATGCTTGTAGCAATTTGAAATAGTGTGTAGGGTAGGTAGTAGATAGTTAGGGTAGTTCAGGTTAGAGCTGTATGATATTTTGCATAGTTTTAGGCAAATTTAACACTAGATTTAACAATTTAGTTATCATAAGGTCATTTCCCACTTGGAAATTCTTGGGATATCAATTTTGGGAAAAACGGATATTTTTCGAGGTAGAGTAGATTGGGTTAGCTTTTCGTGCGGCTAGGGAGATAGAGAATTATAATTATTGGAATTCACTGTTTATCAGGATTTATCTCCTAGCTCCTGTATCTGATACTGGTTGGCTGATCGAATTGATGGTATAGTTGGGAATCAGTATAAGTAGTTTGTTTTATCAGATTTGAAGCAGCCTGAAGGTAAATTTAATTACATCTTTTCTAAATTATTAAAGCTATCATTTACAGAGAATACCAATTGGGAATTTGATTAGTGTATATAGTTAGGAAACAACGTCGAATTAGAATATTAGGATGGTAGTCATAAGTTTGAGGTAAGATAAATAATTGATAGGTAGTGTAGTATTAAAACTTTGTAATTTGTAGTTTAGAACATTGCGGACGAGTTGCAAGCTATAACATCTAGGTAAGAATTAGGTATCTCTTAAGCTAGATATAGAGTATCTCATAACTTTCAGCTTTTTTTGTTCCGCTGCCTAAAATCTGGCACTTACTGGTACCTTACCTTGCTGCATCTGCGTTTGTTCTGAAATAAAGTGGGAGAATAAAAATTAATTAATCATAATTAACCTGTATTTGCATACTTACAATTTTTGTGGCTTTGAGTTGATGAACCCTCTTCAAGGGCTATGTAAACTGAAATCAAAAGAGGTAATTCTTACCATTTAATTACAAATAATTACATTCATGATAATATTATACTTACCTGTGAAGGAAAATTCGTTTTGTTCTCAGTTTGGGAGGTCTATTTGTACGAACCTCTATTTGGCCCAAATATAAACAGGGTGCGGGGCTAGCTAGCGAATCCAGAACCCGTATTAATTACCGTAGTAAGATATTGTTGACACTGTTGATTATTTGCGGTGTGGACGAATTAATCCTATTAGTTTTTTTCTTATTATTGTTACCGTGCTTCACACCACAATTATAATTTGTAGTTACATACTAATCATATTTAATTTTAAATCGAAATACAGACGTATTAAATTCCTCTCTGCCACAATACCTAGTTTTTTTCACCTTCATTATGCTATACTTGGAAGAGCCTATCCTCCTTGATCAAGAGGATTTATTACCTCGCTAGATCTGGCGCCCTTAAGATTTGAGTTTTGTAGTAGCAAGTTTTCCTGGCAGAATACCGAACTTTACGACCCTCACGTTGAATGTTAGCCGGCTACTGAGAATAAATCCAAGTTTAGTAGTGAATTTGTATTCTCCTAATCAGATAGTAATTTTATTTCGCAGCATGCTTTCAATGCTACCTAACCTCTAACCTAACCTAACTAACCTAACCTCTAACCTAACCTCTAACCTAACCTCTAACCTAACCTCTAACCTAACCTCTAACCTAACCTCTAACCTAACCTCTAACCTATTATCACCCCCTATTACCCTTCCCTTTGGTCGTAAAGGGGTAAAAGTTGTACCGGAGACTTTCTAAGGTCCGTACAAACGTGTGTGCCAAATTTCGTCAATTTTTAATTTTTTTTGTCATCCCCTAAATCGCCCTCTAGCGCCCTCGTTTATATATGACCCCGAACGTTTTATGATTGGATTTTTGCTTTTTCGACGAGATCTATCCAACGCCGGTCGAATTTTGAAAATCGGACGGTAAATAAAAAAGTTTTTTTTTTTAAATAGGAAGGGGGGACCAAGGGATGATTATGAAAAAAATTTTTTGTCTGCGATTTGGACCGTAATTTTTTTGTGCGCTCTACTCGACCGGCGTTTAAGAAATAAGTAATCCGTTCCTCGATCGGCCTTTTGGTTTTTGAGAAAAAATTTTTTGAAAATTTTGACAAAATTTGGCAATCTTTGAGAGGCTGCCCCCTCGTTATTCGCGAGTCGATCTTAAAGTGTGAGGTATCGTTGGAAAGCCGCGTTCTTTGGCTTTCGAAATTGCCCCTCGACCCCGACATGTGACCTCGACTTTTCGGAGTTATTACCCCAAATGTCTCGAAAAACACTTACGGCCATAACTCCGACGTTTTTGAGAAACTTGAGTGACCCTTTGGGTCTATCGACGCGTCTTTAAATGGCCTTTCCGACGATGTATAACTTTCGAAAATCAAACAACCCCCGAGTGTTAACCTAACCTAACCTAACCTAACCTAACCTAACCTAACCTAACCTAACCTAACCTAACCTAACCTAACCTAACCTAACCTAACCTAACCTAACCTAACCTAACCTAACCTAACCTAACCTAACCTAACCTAACCTAACCTAACCTAACCTAACCTAACCTAACCTAAACTAACCTAACCTAACCTAACCTAACCTAACCTAACCTAACCTAACCTAACCTAACCTAACCTAACCTAACCTAACCTAACCTAACCTAACCTACCTAACCTAACCTAACCTAACCTAACCTAACCTAACCTAACCTAACCTAACCTAACCTAACCTAACCTAACCTAACCTAACCTAACCTAACCTAAACCTAACCTAACCTAACCTAACCTAACCTAACCTAACCTAACCTAACCTAACCTAACCTAACCTAACCTAACCTAACCTAACCTAACCTAACCTAACCTAACCTAACCTAACCTAACCTAACCTAACCTAACCTAACCTAACCTAACCTAACCTAACCTAACCTAACCTAACCTAACCCTAACCTAACCTAACCTAACCTAACCTAACCTAACCTAACCTAACCTAACCTAACCTAACCTAACCTAACCTAACCTAACCTAACCTAAACCTAAACCTAAACCTAAACCTAACCTAACCTAACCTAACCTAACCTAACCTAACCTTAACCTAACCCAGACCTAACCCAAACCCAACACAAACCTTACCCAAACCTTACCTAACGTACCTACCTATTTAATAAATGTATAGGTAGATGAAAAAAGTTTCCCAAACTACTAAAAATTAGCAAAGTCCTTTCTACTTTTAAAATGGGCGAAATAGACTCAAATGATAATTACCGACCGATCTCACTATAGTTCCGTTAATTTCTAAAATATTTGAAATGTTATTGAAAGAAAGACTAGTAAAGTACATTAATAAACCTCTTATTCTTTCAGACTCCCATCAGTTTGGATTTAGAAACGAGCGCTCTACTATACAAGCTATTTATGCTGCCATATCAATCATAACAAATAGACTTGAAGTTCACGAAACAATAGGTATGACTTTACTTCATTTAAGTAAAGCATTTGATTGCGTTTCACACGAGCTATTATTAGAAAAATTGTATAGGTACAGAGTTAGGGGACAACCGCCGTACTACTAAAATCGTATTTAAGTGACAGAGAGCAATGTGTAGAATGTATAAGGGTAGCAAATCTAAAGTGCTTTCAATACTTTTCCAATACAGATGCTAACGTGTATCTCTGTTTTCCCTTGCGAGAAGGGGAAGGTATGCTTGTAGCAATTTGAAATAGTGTGTAGGGTAGGTAGTAGATAGTTAGGGTAGTTCAGGTTAGAGCTGTATGATATTTTGCATAGTTTTAGGCAAATTTAACACTAGATTTAACAATTTAGTTATCATAAGGTCATTTCCCACTTGGAAATTCTTGGGATATCAATTTTGGGAAAAACGGATATTTTTCGAGGGAGAGTAGATTGGGTTAGCTTTTCGTGCGGCTAGGGAGATAGAGAATTATAATTATTGGAATTCACTGTTTATCAGGATTTATCTCCTAGCTCCTGTATCTGATACTGGTTGGCTGATCGAATTGATGGTATAGTTGGGAATCAGTATAAGTAGTTTGTTTTATCAGATTTGAAGCAGCCTGAAGGTAAATTTAATTACAACTTTTCTAAATTATTAAAGCTATCATTTACAGAGAATACCAATTGGGAATTTGATTAGTGTATATAGTTAGGAAACAACGTCGAATTAGAATATTAGGATGGTAGTCATAAGTTTGAGGTAAGATAAATAATTGATAGGTAGTGTAGTATTAAAACTTTGTAATTTGTAGTTTAGAACATTGCGGACGAGTTGCAAGCTATAACATCTAGGTAAGAATTAGGTATCTCTTAAGCTAGATATAGAGTATCTCATAACTTTCAGCTTTTTTTGTTCCGCTGCCTAAAATCTGGCACTTACTGGTACCTTACCTTGCTGCATCTGCGTTTGTTCTGAAATAAAGTGGGAGAATAAAAATTAATTAATCATAATTAACCTGTATTTGCATACTTACAATTTTTGTGGCTTTGAGTTGATGAACCCTCTTCAAGGGCTATGTAAACTGAAATCAAAAGAGGTAATTCTTACCATTTAATTACAAATAATTACATTCATGATAATATTATACTTACCTGTGAAGGAAAATTCGTTTTGTTCTCAGTTTGGGAGGTCTATTTGTACGAACCTCTATTTGGCCCAAATATAAACAGGGTGCGGGGCTAGCTAGCGAATCCAGAACCCGTATTAATTACCGTAGTAAGATATTGTTGACACTGTTGATTATTTGCGGTGTGGACGAATTAATCCTATTAGTTTTTTTTCTTATTATTGTTACCGTGCTTCACACCACAATTATAATTTGTAGTTACATAATAATCATATTTAATTTTAAATCGAAATACAGACGTATTAAATTCCTCTCTGCCACAATACCTAGTTTTTTTCACCTTCATTATGCTATGCTTGGAAGAGCCTATCCTCCTTGATCAAGAGGATTTATTACCTCGCTAGATCTGGCGCCCTTAAGATTTGAGTTTTGTAGTAGCAAGTTTTCCTGGCAGAATACCGAACTTTACGACCCTCACGTTGAATGTTAGCCGGCTACTGAGAATAAATCCAAGTTTAGTAGTGAATTTGTATTCTCCTAATCAGATAGTAATTTTATTTCGCAGCATGCTTTCAATGCTACCTAACCTCTAACCTAACCTAACTAACCTCTAACCTAACCTCTAACCTAACCTCTAACCTAACCTCTAACCTAACCTCTAACCTAACCTCTAACCTAACCTCTAACCTATTATCACCCCCTATTACCCTTCCCTTTGGTCGTAAAGGGGTAAAAGTTGTACCGGAGACTTTCTAAGGTCCGTACAAACGTGTGTGCCAAATTTCGTCAATTTTTAATTTTTTTTGTCATCCCCTAAATCGCCCTCTAGCGCCCTCGTTTATATATGACCCCGAACGTTTTATGATTGGATTTTTGCTTTTTCGACGAGATCTATCCAACGCCGGTCGAATTTTGAAAATCGGACGGTAAATAAAAAAGTTTTTTTTTTTAAATAGGAAGGGGGGACCAAGGGATGATTATGAAAAAAATTTTTTGTCTGCGATTTGGACCGTAATTTTTTTGTGCGCTCTACTCGACCGGCGTTTAAGAAATAAGTAATCCGTTCCTCGATCGGCCTTTTGGTTTTTGAGAAAAAAATTTTTGAAAATTTTGACAAAATTTGGCAATCTTTGAGAGGCTGCCCCCTCGTTATTCGCGAGTCGATCTTAAAGTGTGAGGTATCGTTGGAAAGCCGCGTTCTTTGGCTTTCGAAATTGCCCCTCGACCCCGACATGTGACCTCGACTTTTCGGAGTTATTACCCCAAATGTCTCGAAAAACACTTACGGCCATAACTCCGACGTTTTTGAGAAACTTGAGTGACCCTTTGGGTCTATCGACGCGTCTTTAAATGGCCTTTCCGACGATGTATAACTTTCGAAAATCAAACAACCCCCGAGTGTTAACCTAACCTAACCTAACCTAACCTAACCTAACCTAACCTAACCTAACCTAACCTAACCTAACCTAACCTAACCTAACCTAACCTAACCTAACCTAACCTAACCTAACCTAACCTAACCTAACCTAACCTAACCTAACCTAACCTAACCTAACCTAACCTAACCTAACCTAACCTAACCTAACCTAACCTAACCTAACCTAACCTAACCTAACCTAACCTAACCTAACCTAACCTAACCTAACCTAACCTAACCTAACCTAACCTAAACCTAAACCTAAACCTAAACCTAACCTAACCTAACCTAACCTAACCTAACCTAACCTTAACCTAACCCAGACCTAACCCAAACCCAACACAAACCTTACCCAAACCTTACCTAACGTACCTACCTATTTAATAAATGTATAGGTAGATGAAAAAAGTTTCCCAAACTACTAAAAATTAGCAAAGTCCTTTCTACTTTTAAAATGGGCGAAATAGACTCAAATGATAATTACCGACCGATCTCACTATAGTTCCGTTAATTTCTAAAATATTTGAAATGTTATTGAAAGAAAGACTAGTAAAGTACATTAATAAACCTCTTATTCTTTCAGACTCCCATCAGTTTGGATTTAGAAACGAGCGCTCTACTATACAAGCTATTTATGCTGCCATATCAATCATAACAAATAGACTTGAAGTTCACGAAACAATAGGTATGACTTTACTTCATTTAAGTAAAGCATTTGATTGCGTTTCACACGAGCTATTATTAGAAAAATTGTATAGGTACAGAGTTAGGGGACAACCGCCGTACTACTAAAATCGTATTTAAGTGACAGAGAGCAATGTGTAGAATGTATAAGGGTAGCAAATCTAAAGTGCTTTCAATACTTTTCCAATACAGATGCAAACGTGTATCTCTGTTTTCCCTTGCGAGAAGGGGAAGGTATGCTTGTAGCAATTTGAAATAGTGTGTAGGGTAGGTAGTAGATAGTTAGGGTAGTTCAGGTTAGAGCTGTATGATATTTTGCATAGTTTTAGGCAAATTTAACACTAGATTTAACAATTTAGTTATCATAAGGTCATTTCCCACTTGGAAATTCTTGGGATATCAATTTTGGGAAAAACGGATATTTTTCGAGGTAGAGTAGATTGGGTTAGCTTTTCGTGCGGCTAGGGAGATAGAGAATTATAATTATTGGAATTCACTGTTTATCAGGATTTATCTCCTAGCTCCTGTAGGTATCTGATACTGGTTGGCTGATCGAATTGATGGTATAGTTGGGAATCAGTATAAGTAGTTTGTTTTATCAGATTTGAAGCAGCCTGAAGGTAAATTTAATTACAACTTTTCTAAATTATTAAAGCTATCATTTACAGAGAATACCAATTGGGAATTTGATTAGTGTATATAGTTAGGAAACAACGTCGAATTAGAATATTAGGATGGTAGTCATAAGTTTGAGGTAAGATAAATAATTGATAGGTAGTGTAGTATTAAAACTTTGTAATTTGTTATTTAGAACATTGCGGACGAGTTGCAAGCTATAACATGATGACGGGAAGGAGGGACAGGACGCTCCGGATTCTGCAGCTGAACGCGAACTGCAGCTCAAGGGCGATGGACGTCGCCTACGCGAGAGCGAAGGCGACGGAGGCAGATTTTATCTGCCTCTCTGAGCCCAACAAGCGGCGGTGCGCGGGAAAGCGGCACGTGTCATAATTAACCTGTATTTGCATACTTACAATTTTTGTGGCTTTGAGTTGATGAACCCTCTTCAAGGGCTATGTAAACTGAAATCAAAAGAGTTAATTCTTACCATTTAATTACAAATAATTACATTCATGATAATACTTACCTGTGAAGGAAAATTCGTTTTGTTCTCAGTTTGGGAGGGCTATTTGTACGAACCTCTATTTGGCCCAAATATAAACAGGGTGCGGGGCTAGCTAGCGAATCCAGAACCCGTATTAATTACCGTAGTAAGATATTGTTGACACTGTTGATTATTTGCGGTGTGGACGAATTAATCCTATTAGTTTTTTTTCTTATTATTGTTACCGTGCTTCACACCACAATTATAATTTGTAGTTACATACTAATCATATTTAATTTTAAATCGAAATACAGACGTATTAAATTCCTCTCTGCCACAATACCTAGTTTTTTTCACCTTCATTATGCTATACTTGGAAGAGCCTATCCTCCTTGATCAAGAGGATTTATTACCTCGCTAGATCTGGCGCCCTTAAGATTTGAGTTTTGTAGTAGCAAGTTTTCCTGGCAGAATACCGAACTTTACGTCCCTCACGTTGAATGTTAGCCGGCTACTGAGTATAAATCCAAGTTTAGTAGTGAATTTGTATTCTCCTAATCAGATAGTAATTTTATTTCGCAGCATGCTTTCAATGCTACCTAACCTCTAACCTAACCTCTAACCTAACCTCTAACCTAACCTCTAACCTAACCTCTAACCTAACCTCTAACCTAACCTCTAACCTAACCTCTAACCTAACCTCTAACCTATTATCACCCCCTATTACCCTTCCCTTTGGTCGTAAAGGGGTAAAAGTTGTACCGGAGACTTTCTAAGGTCCGTACAAACGTGTGTGCCAAATTTCGTCAATTTTTAATTTTTTTTGTCATCCCCTAAATCGCCCTCTAGCGCCCTCGTTTATATATGACCCCGAACGTTTTATGATTGGATTTTTGCTTTTTCGACGAGATCTATCCAACGCCGGTCGAATTTTGAAAATCGGACGGTAAATAAAAAAGTTTTTTTTTTTAAATAGGAAGGGGGGACCAAGGGATGATTATGAAAAAAATTTTTTGTCTGCGATTTGGACCGTAATTTTTTTGTGCGCTCTACTCGACCGGCGTTTAAGAAATAAGTAATCCGTTCCTCGATCGGCCTTTTGGTTTTTGAGAAAAAAATTTTTGAAAATATTGACAAAATTTGGCAATCTTTGAGAGGCTGCCCCCTCGTTATTCGCGAGTCGATCTTAAAGTGTGAGGTATCGTTGGAAAGCCGCGTTCTTTGGCTTTCGAAATTGCCCCTCGACCCCGACATGTGACCTCGACTTTTCGGAGGTATTACCCCAAATGTCTCGAAAAACACTTACGGCCATAACTCCGACGTTTTTGAGAAACTTGAGTGACCCTTTGGGTCTATCGACGCGTCTTTAAATGGCCTTTCCGACGATGTATAACTTTCGAAAATCAAACAACCCCCGAGAGAAAATCAAACAACCCCCGAGTGTTAACCTAACCTAACCTAACCTAACCTAACCTAACCTAACCTAACCTAACCTAACCTAACCTAACCTAACCTACCCTAACCTAACCTAACCTAACCTAACCTAACCTAACCTAACCTAACCTAACCTAACCTAACCTAACCTAACCTAACCTAACCTAACCTAATCTAACCTAACCTAACCTAACCTAACCTAACCTAACCTAACCTAACCTAACCTAACCTAACCTAACCTAACCTAACCTAACCTAACCTAACCTAAAACCTAAAACCTAAACCTAAACCTAAACCTAACCTAACCTAACCTAACCTAACCTAACCTAACCTAACCTTAACCTAACCCAGACCTAACCCAAACCCAACACAAACCTTACCCAAACCTTACCTAACGTACCTACCTATTTAATAAATGTATAGGTAGATGAAAAAAGTTTCCCAAACTACTAAAAATTAGCAAAGTCCTTTCTACTTTTAAAATGGGCGAAATAGACTCAAATGATAATTACCGACTGATCTCACTATAGTTCCGTTAATTTCTAAAATATTTGAAATGTTATTGAAAGAAAGACTAGTAAAGTACATTAATAAACCTCTTATTCTTTCAGACTCCCATCAGTTTGGATTTAGAAACGAGCGCTCTACTATACAAGCTATTTATGCTGCCATATCAATCATAACAAATAGACTTGAAGTTCACGAAACAATAGGTATGACTTTACTTCATTTAAGTAAAGCATTTGATTGCGTTTCACACGAGCTATTATTAGAAAAATTGCATAGGTACAGAGTTAGGGGACAACCGCCGTACTACTAAAATCGTATTTAAGTGACAGAGAGCAATGTGTAGAAT